TTCCAGGAAAAAGAATATGATCTCAGACATGGAGGGATTTAAACACAAACATATAGATAAAAGTATCCTAACAACTTGAGCTTGAACATACAATTCAAAAGAAACAATGTTATGAATTCCAACCTCGGTCAGTGCTTCCACAGTTCCACTCACACAGCCACAGAGACTAAAGGAGACTGGGTAGAAGCACAGGGAGGTTGCTAAAGTTGGAACACCACAAGTCTGACAATGAAAATACATTACAACAGCCAGTCTAATGGTAATGTACAATGCGATGGCACTAGAGGTTCCAATAACATAAGGAGAACAAACATGAAAACAATATGAAGACATAACGGACATGGATTGTATACCAGCGTTTCACACCCACTGTTCTTTAAAGCTAACATTACACCCCTTAGAATTGGCTCGTCTCAATGAAATTGTACCATTGTCCACCGATAGAGGGGAATCAAGTTTAGGACATAATGAATTCCAAGCTTCCTGACCTGCAGATGGACATTTCAGGATCCCTTTTAGAGGCCTTTTTGACAAATAGGCTGCCTCCTTGGAATCATTTTTTGCAAAAAGGTCTAAAGCATCCTCATTGGAATCATCAATTGCACTAATCTCTTTAGCCTTGCCATAAGCAGAATCCTCTCCTGACTTATCCTCACTAACTTTGACTAGGAAAAGATCCTCACCCGAACCAAATTCACCACCACTTATACAGGGAGAGGCACCATCATCTAAGTTACATTTACTACCTTTGCCTTGGACACGATCATCAACCATGACTTTTTTTTTATCACCCCAAAAACCAGCAGAATCATCACAGAAGGTAAATTCTGCAATTTTACCGTTTGTACCTTCTTTTTGTTTGCTTACGGTTGTGTCAACAAGATATTTTTCTTCCTCTGATGATGTTCGAACAAGAACATCTGTACCTCTTCGCAATGAAGGGTTCTTGTCTCCCTTTTTCCCTTTAGGCAATTTGAACCATCCTTCACTCAACAAAGGCAGAGAAGATAGATTCTTTAGAAATGATGTCTTCTTTGGAGCATCTGACCACTTTTTCTTATCAGCTGTAGTCAATAATGACATGGCAATCACATTGGATATGAAAAGTTGACAGATAGCGCATTTGATTTGCTCATGTCTCTCAAAGGATGAAGCCTCTGTAAGACCTATCATTCTCTTGATCCCAAGAACTTTGCGCGCCAACTCTCCTAGTTCACACTGCTTATATTTGGGATTTTTGAAATACTTGGTGGCAATATAGCCAATGTCTACTTTATCTTTAGTCAAACCTAATTCCTCAAATGGGAATATATCTTTCTTTTCTGGGATTCCAAAACCAACAAATCGGATCCTCTCATCCGTAAGGAATTTTAGGACAGGATCAGGTAATTGTTCCCCAGAATGAAACCTGAGGATCAGACAACCTACTCCAAAACACAATAGAACCAAAATTATGGTGGGATCACGAGGGTGGCGCATGGCGTCAAGGCCAACAACAGGTGGACGAACCCAAACTTTACCTTCTGGAAAAAGAAAATCAATTGCACATAAAGATTCAAACTCTTTGGCCTTATAGGTAATGCCCTCTAATTTAACCTCAAACCTATTAGTTCTCAAATATACCGTGCCAGCCATAGATAGGTTTAATAAATGAGATGATCCTAGTATTGTTGGATTGGCATGAATATATGTAGAAAAGATTAGCAAAAGGATGAGTGTTCCATTACATACACTATAGAAGGAACAGCTCCCCAAAGAAGATGAGATTTGACCCAGTATTGCTGGGTAACCAACACCACAGACTGGAAAGAGGTACATCAAATTGTAACAAAAATGATAATTCAAAACTACAAGAGAATAAAGGGGATAAAAAGAAGGTAGATTAATGGATAATCATTAAAATTGCAATAATATGACACTTGTAAGGCAGGCTTTGTGTTTGGCAGTTATCGATACATTACCTCCACAAAATCCTAGTCTTCCACACCATGCCAGATAATGATCAACACTTGAAAACATCTCGCAACTTCAGTCTTCCGATATTATTATCTGTTCCACCATCAATCCTGACTTTATGGAGAATATTGGTGATTCACATTCAGGTTTACTATTTCTAATTTCTACATTTTCAGATCACATATCATTGACTTCTAGATAGATTAAGAAATCAACGTTTGGATTAACATCCATTATAAACAGAAACTGGACATCACTTATTCCAATCAATACAACGACAATGAAAAGAATGTCAATCCAATAATCAAGACTGAATTGAAAAGGACATATTATTTGCAAAAATACTAATAATTCATTAGAATACTTTCATTTCAACTACATCGCCAGAATCGAGTAAATTCTGAATCAAAATACACTGGAAATACTTAACAACAATCTACCATTGATTCTTTCTTTTTTCAACTAATAGTTACCATGAATTCACATTTATGCCCTCTCACCCCTAATTCTCCTAGCAAGTTGGATATCCTTAGGCATGATAGTAACCCTCTTAGCATGAATGGCACACAAGTTAGTGTCTTCAAACAAACCAACAAGGTAAGCTTCAGCAGCTTCCTGGAGTGCAGCAACAGCAGAACTCTGGAAACGGAGATCAGTCTTGAAATCCTGAGCAATCTCACGAACCAAACGCTGGAATGGAAGCTTACGGATCAGAAGCTCAGTTGACTTCTGGTACTTGCGGATCTCACGAAGAGCCACAGTTCCTGGCCTGAATCTGTGAGGCTTCTTCACTCCTCCGGTGGCTGGAGCTGACTTTCTGGCAGCTTTGGTCGCCAATTGCTTCCTTGGAGCTTTTCCTCCGGTAGATTTTCGGGCTGTTTGCTTAGTACGAGCCATTTGGGAATTAGGGTTTATGAGATTCGGTGAAAAGAGATAGAAAATTTGAGATAGTTCTTGAGATTTTGAATGTGATGGTGACGGAAGAAGAGAGGAGGGAGAATTTAAAGAAATTTGAGGGAAGGAGGAGGAGTGATCTTGACCGTTGATGAATTGAAATTGAATGGATGGACGAGATTTGGGGATTGATTAGTGTAGTGGATCGATGACGTGGAGGAGCCAAAAGTGATCTTGTGCGTTGGTTACAAAGTGAATGGGTGCACAATCTACGGTTGTGATTGACTTATAGTATTCTCAAGTTGCGGATTGATGACGTGGTAGTTTTGTGCTTTGGGAATAGGTGGGGTAATCAGGCACGTCAATTCCATTTACATCTACGGTTCACATTTCCCAAGGGGTTTTGGCACGGATGATAAACATAAAATGTGCATTATGTGATAACAAAAATCAAAACAATAAAATTTAGGGGTCTTTTGGTACAAAGATTAATAATGCAGGAATTATTCTTACATAATTATTTTATTAAGTGTTTGGTTTATTATTTTTTATCTTATTTAAAATTTATTTTTTAAAAAATCAATTATATCCTTAAATTATTATGTAAATGGGTTATGGTATAATTGTCGGACAATAATATTTTTTTATGACTTCTTTAACTAGTTATGAAAACAACAATTGTATTGTCATGTTTGCTTCTTTTTTTTAACTTAGATTATTTGAGAATAAATAATTGTCATCTTAGTAAATTCATCACTTACAAAATGTTAATTTTTAATTTTAAAAAAATTAAACTATCAACTTTAAAAATTGAAAAGACGGTAAGCAATAGTAACCATCTACATTTACAAATAACATTGTTAGTTGAAATTTTAATATATATTCAATTTTATAAATTAAATAAACTACATATTAAAATTCATGAGTGATGTTTATAACTGACATATGTAGTTTCTGTGTGAGTTATCTTTTCGCTTCCTCTGCCTCATCCTAGGACATACGAAAAGCTTTGTAAATATTGTAACAAAGCTTTTGTATATCGTAGGATGAATCAAAGAAAGCGAGAAGATAACTCAGACAAAAACTATATAATATCAATAATTAAAATACCTTGTTCTCTATTCTCGAGTGATTAAAATGAAGGATTTGATGGTTCTTCATTTATGTTACTTAAATTGAAATCTAGATAAAGTAATCACTCAGAAGAAAAAAAAGAACTAAGCATTATGACAAATTGAAGTTGAAGCCTCCAATTGCAATCTACCATTAAGAAAACAATAGATCTGGTGACAAATTGAAAAACTTATCGCAAAAGCAAAAAGGCCGCCTTGAGAGATTACTCAAAACTTTACGGTAAAAGAATATTCCGTGCGAATTAAATATAAATTATTTTAAATTAATAATATACGAATAAAGAGATTCAACGTAAAAAAAAATATTGTTAGAACAAACAATCTACTATATTCATAAGTTTTTTATTTTCAAAATGAGTTAAGCATTTTATTCATTTCACTCCAATACATATGATTTGAGATACTGCTCGACTATAAATTTTCCTTTCTAATGAAATTTAGCTTAGCCTACCTAGATAAATTCAAGATAGGTAAATACATACTTATATATTATGTTGATGTGTTATATTAAATTTGTACTTTTACTTCATATGCGAACCTAATATCGTCCCAAAAATAGTTTAAACATACAAAATTCATACTTTAAAGAGTCAAAGCGATAACATTTTAATTAATTAAAGACTAAATGTATCATATTATATATTACAACAATCAAATCAAATTTATTCGATAACCAAAAACCTAAAACCAATTTTCTTCCAATATAAATGATAGTAGTAAATTATAGTAATAGAATTTATGAAAAATGTCAAAGATACTCATCGAGAATATATGTAAAATTGAATAACTTCATACTATGTTTGAATGAGGTAAAATCACTTATGTTTTAATAAGATAAAATCATGACTTACTTTATTTTTGTCCCATATTAAGGGTGAGACAAAAATAATTTTTTAATTAACTAATTAATCTCGTGATAATTTATTGTGGGATCGATCGGAAAGACAATTTTAACCCTTATTCCCTGGAATTTATCATTTCTAAACACCGCCAAATCTCTTTTCAACCATCCACCAATCATCGTCGGAGAGAAGTCAACTACTGTAATACTAATATTGATTATCTCCGGTCAAACATGTTCACAATTTGATAGGAATTTATACATTCTAGCTTCCATGAAAGAACCTTCGCTTTAACCCCACACGCATTTTAGCTTATTCCTCAAGAAATCGGTCAACTGACAATTTGATGAATCCTTACATATATAACTACACACATGGAGCGTCTTTGCATATACAATCCTTGATTTGATTTCCTTTTAGAATTTACCCAGATCGAGAAGTAATGGTCCTCCCACTGTTGAAGCTTGGGACACTTGCATTGAAAACTCTCAGTAAACCCATTGGCAGTAGGCTCAAGAAACAAGCTGGATTGCACCCCAAGTTCCGTAATTTCATTGTTAGCATGGCCCAGGTAATCTCCGGTTATTTTGGAATGAATTTGATCTGAATCTTCTTTTTGCCCATACCTGATTAGAATGGAGAGGGCATAAATTGTGCTTTTCTTCGTAGGACTAGGACTAGCAAAGTTTCTAACTTTATGTATATGAGGAGTGAGGGCTTTACATTTTGTGTAGAATTCGTGACCACATAGGGTATTCATTCCAATTCCGTAATAAACAGAGCAAAAGGGTTGTCCTTGTTGCTGTTTATCACATTACCAGAATCTAATTGGGGCTATTCAAACGGATACACCAATGATTGTAGTATAAATCAGGGAGAGAAGAGTTTGATGTATGCCTAATGTTATGTGGTTGGTTTTAGACTTAAGGAGTAAAGAGTTTAATTGACAAGAGCATATCCAACCTGCAATTTTACAATTTTGTTCCTGTTAGTTAGTTATAGTCTCACATCTAGTTCAGTTAGTTGTGAGTTATTGAAAGAGAATAAGTAGCACAGTTGCATAGTTCATCATTCAGAAAACAAAATGCAATTGAAAACCATTTTACATACATATGCTAATTTATTTCACATGGGAAGATTGGCTAATATCTTTGTATTTGGTTATAACTTTGGGGAATTGTGCTTTGTTCTTTAGCACTTGTAGTTCTGAATTGAGGGACTGGTAAGATTTACTTAGGTGATTGGATGATTCTAATGGTCACATCTTACAATACCTGATACGAGTGGCTGGTGTTCCGGTTGAGGAGTTTTAATGCTGTTTGACCTTGTCATCTCTAAATATCTGATTGTTGCATGTGCTTCCTTACTTTTAATAAGTGCATGCACTTTTCTTGCTCTCTAGTTCTTTTAACCCCTTAATAATGCAATGCTAGAAATGTTGTTGCATTCCTCTAAACATTTTACTTTATTATTCCTCAGTGCATTATTTCAGCTATTTATCCTTTGTTTGTAGATGCAAATACCATCTTTCAAAAACTTTTTCCTTCATATGTTAATCTCTTGAATTCAATTAGCATTTCATATTTCATCTGTTTGAACACATCCATTGTTGGAAGCAGGCAAACCACCGGATCACAACAACAATGCAGAGGCGGTTATATGGTCATGCAACCAATGTAGAGATACGGCCTTTGGATGAAGAAAAAGCTGTTCAAGCTGCTGTTGATCTTCTGGGGGAGGCTTTTGTCTTTTCGGTATTGCCGATTTTCCCACTTGACTCTGTAATGACATGTCTAGATAGTCATCTATGCTTCCTCTGTTTGTTAACTGATACATATCATTATTGTTTAGATAAGATTATACAGGAGCGGAGCTAGGTGGGAGTTCATGGGTCAGACAAACCCAGTAGCTTTTTTGTAGACCCGAAATTTGTACTAGAAAATTAAGTAATAACTTGTGAACACCTAATAAAACTAATTGACAACTCAAAGGTAAGGAAGGAGAAGGAAATTTAGAACCCTAAAACTCTAAATACGGGCTCTGCCTCTGAGTGCATACACTTCGCTAACTACTCTAGGTTTGAATTCTGGTGAATTTAAAACATGATATTCACTCTGACTGCAGAATCGATGTAGTCGTGCTACCTTTGTCACCCAGACTAGCAGTGGCAATTTCTAATGATCCACATAGCCCTTGAAATCTTGGGCATTAAAGTCTCTTTGCATCAATATGTGGGAATAAGTCTGATTCAACATGTCCACTGAATCCTTCTCTGTTCAAATGCCTTGTGATTTCTTTTCCCAGGAAGAGTTTGAAACGCAAAACTTAGATCTCTGAAACTTGCACACACAAAAGTCTCATACCTACCATCTCGAGATACATTGTATTAGAAGGCCTAACCTCTTGTTCCTCACAATTCTGATTTTCACATTATTGGATTGTCAAAAATAATATTGCCTGCTGAAGACTTCTATATTTTCTTTTTTAGTTTCTGAAATATTAGAGCAAAAAGATTTCAAGTATAATTTTAACCAACATTTTACACTGACTGCGCTTTCTGGTTGTGCTACAAAATCTTGAACCGAGTTTGTGTGGCGAGTTCCCTTTCAGCTATCTTGGATGTGTTAGACTTGATCTCTTGGGTTCTAGTGCTAATCTCCTTTTCTTCGAGTTATCATGGGTTGCTAAGTAAGAAAAGGGAAGTACCAAGAGTTACACTTGAACTCCTAGGCTCTAGTGCTTATCTGTTTTTTTTTTTTGAAGTATCGTTTGTTGCTAAGGAAGGGAAAAGGAATGTGCTGATGATAATTATTTACACTTTATATGTGGTGATCAGCAAGCAATGAAAAACACTCCTACATGAAAGACTTAACTTCAAGTTTTCCTAGAAAAATATTTTGAAAGCAAATAATTTGTGTTTTAAAAATCCATTTCCTTTCAATAAACAAATGCAAGGAAATGATTTTTGTTTTCCTTTTCTTTTGTTTACTTCAAAATTCTCAAGAAATATATTTTCAGGCAACTTTCTTGACATCCCAACACGCGAGAAGTCAATCTTTTCCTTTTAATTACTGCTTATTCTAAATTTTTAGGAGTGGTCAATGCAATATTTAGATCATACTGAACACTACGTATTATGTTGAAGACATCCTTAATATCTCTCTTTCAGATAAACATACCTAAAACATCACTGTGACTTGCAACTTCTAAGCTAACCCGACATGGAATTTCGCAACTTTAGGACAGTTATAGTTACAGTCACTGTTCACGGGGGCTTCAGTTGCTGGCGCCCCTGTCATCACGTCACCAACTTCTTTGACCTTCCGGATGTCTTTAGAGTTTAGTAGGAAGTGTACGGTTTTCACTGTTTATATGAGAGAGATTTTTTTTTTTTGAGACAGTAACAACTTGTATTCTATTCCAAAACAAAAACCAGAACCTGCCACAATAAGTTACAGATTCCTAATTAAAATTATGGAGAGTACCAGGAAGATCTTTAATCCTATAGCAAAATTTACAAGGAACCTAAAACATGTTTGATTGATTCTAGATCTACCATGTACTCCTGTTTACACCAAAAAAGGAACAAAACTAAGCAGTTCATCTTAATCTTCTAGATGGAACTGTTCTTTTGTTCTGGAAGCATCTGAGATTTCTTTCTTTCCACACGGACCACCAGATGCAAGCTGGAATGATTTTCCATCTTTTTTTTATGTCCTGAAATGCTTGTATAACTGCTGCATAACTTCAGGGTCTGTGTAATTTTCCTAGGCATAACCCATTTCATGTCCTTCTGATTGATAAAGACATTCTACAAAATGTTGGTTATTCTACAGTAAAGGAAGAGATGGTTGACATTCTCTACTTCTTCTTCACCACATAGAAGGCACCTAGGACTTAGATGAATATTTCTTTTCATGAGATTTTCCTGGGTCAAAACTGCCTGCTTAGCAAGTAGCCAAGTAAAACAAGACACCTTGTAGGGGATTTTAGTTTTCCATATCAACTTCCATGGCTACCCATTCCCCTGACTGTTACAAGGATTAAGTTTTTTGTACGCTCTTCTAACACTGAAATTGTCCCGGTTGTGATACTGCCATACCAAACTATCTTGTGCATTAATAGTTCCTTTGAACTGCCCTAAAACCTTGTAAAACTCCACCAACCTTTGGATCTCCCAGTCATTTAGAGGTATTCTAAAGCTCAGATTCCACCCTTGGTTTTGACCACATCTTTGCTACAGTGGCTCTTTGCTGCTTGTTTAGGGTGAAAATATCCGGGAACAAGGTTTTTAAAGATCCTTGTTCTAGCCATCTATCTTCCCAAAAAGAAGTTTTCCTTCCATTCCCTAATTTAACACTGCAGTTTTCTCTGAGCTTTGGCCAATGGTTTCTGATGGCTCTCCGATGTCTTGATGCATAAGTGCTAGTGACCGTTTTAGTTATCTAGAGATCCTCCATTTCATATTTAGCATGTATTACGTCTTTCCACAGAGCTTGCTCACTGGAAGCAAATCTCCATAGCCACTTCATCATAAGACACTGATTTTTAATTTTTAAATTCCATATCCCCATCCCCCTGCCTGTTTACTCTTAATCAGAGTATCCCACTTTACCAAGTGGAATTTCTTGGTTTCACTATTTCCTTCCCACAGGAAATACCTCCTCAAAGTATCAAGTCTGTCAATAACACCATCATGAATAGGGAAAAGTGACATCATATATGTAGCATAGAGTCTAAAACACTATTGATGAGTGTTAGTCTTCCTCCTAAAAGAAAGGTACTGGCTCTTCCAATTCACCAACCTTTTTTCACATTTTTCAATCACCCCATTCCAAATGCCTATAGATTTGCTTTTGGCTCCCAAGGCCATCCCTAAATATGTAGTTGGTAGATCTCCTGTCCTTCCGCCCAAAATCCTAGCCAGAGAGGGTAAATCAGGAACTTCATTTACTGGATACAGGAAACTCTTGTTCCAATTGATGTGAAGCCCAGAGATAGCTTCAAAAAGAACGAAGATTACCCTTAAATCTTGAGTTGGTTTTGTTTAGCATCACAGAAGACAAGAGAGTCATCTGCATATTGTAAGTGAGTAATCTCCAGTTCAGCCCCCACTCTACTAGATACCCTAAAACCTCTCAGCCACGACTTTTCTTGAGCGATTTTCAACATATCATTTAGTCTCTCCATAGCGATAATAAAAAGACTTAATGAAGCCATCTGTCAATACTCAATAGCCAAGGTAAGTATCCTTCTGCAGGTGTAAATATGCATTATACTCTTCTTCTGCATTTGTCATCCACCTCTGTTGACTTCTCAAGTCTTTGGATCACTAACAGTCACCAGCTGCCACACGAACTCATACCCTTTTCTTACTTCCATCTGTGCTTATTATGTCTATGATTTTATGTCTAGGGCTTACAGGATCGAGTTAGCATCTTCAATTGGAACCACTCTAATCTTCATTCTCTGCTTAGTTAAAAAAACCTTCCCCTTCACATATGTGACATATGATTTTGACTGGAAGTCTATTATTCTTTTGCAAATCTGGAAGCTTTACTTTAGCATTTCATAAGCGTACACAATATGAATTAGAATGAGGGGATATCGGTTGACTTTATCCAACAACAACAACATACCCAGTGTAATCCCACAGGTGGTGGGATCCAGGTAGAATTGAATGTACTCAGACTTTAGCCCTACCTCCTGGAGGTAAAGAGGTTGTATCTGAAAGACCCTAGACTCAAGCAACGTATAATCAAAGTTGTTTGAAGAGAAAAATCCAAAAGTAATGAGGACATTACAAACAATAGGGAAAACACTACATAACATTCAGAAAACAAGTAACAGTTACAACAATCAAATAATGTGATTACCGAAGCATAGGAAACAACAGGTAGTAACAAAGATAATCTGTTTCATTTGTTTGTGAATTTCTTGTGAGTGAGACAGTAATGAATCATGAAAAATAAAGCTTGGAGAGGACATCACTTTATTTGGTTGAATCTCTTAATAATGGTGGTCAGTTTAGAGTGATGCAATAACACTTAACTTTGGCATCTTGCATCTAGCACCTTTATGTTGTCTAATTTTTTGCTTTGGCTACTTTCTTAAATTGCTGAAACAGGTTGCAGTTGCTGCACTTTACTTTGAGGTGCAAAGAAGTTCTCGGTCAGAAGCCAAAAAGGAGGAACTTCGCAGGCAAGAGCTGGAGGTAGTCTCTCGAATTCTTCGGTTACTTGTTTGGTCTTGACAAACTCTTTCATATCACCCAAAACCAAAAACATTGAACATTCCTAAAAGTATATGTTAGTTCCTGTGATGTTATCTCAGTAAACATCTACCTTTGCATCTCTTTCTCAAGTTCATGGTTAGCAACTATAATATTTAAGAGCTAACTCTTGAGGTTGAGTTGACAAGGTCCATTTTTTACGTATTCTTATTATTACTTATAAATATTATTGTTATTATAAATTAGGTTATGGTTACTTATTCCATCTCAATGTAATTTCATGGAATGGGCCCAGTAAAGCGAGCACTTTTCGGATAACTGGCCGCTGATCTAGTCCCGTTGATCTGCTAAATAACGGACCAATTTTGTGCCACATCCATCATTGCTCTTGCATACATCTCTTAGAGAAGATAGGTGGATGCACCAGGTATCCCTTCAATTACATATCATTTCTATCTTCTCTAGGAGATGTATGCAAGAGCAATGATGGATGTGGCGCCCTGATTTACCTGGCTCTTTGTAGCGGCAGAAGTAACTGTTGTAATTTGCTAATTTGAATTTTATTTATTCTGGTGTTTAACAATTATGTTCTATTACATCATGACTTGAGATCAAAAACCCCTATTAGCTCTTATAGTGAACTGAAATTTATCCTTCTTGAAATTTGTTTGAGCTATATTTGAGATCCTCGTTTGTTTTTTCAGCAAATGAGGGAAAGAGATGATGCATTGTCACGAGAGGTGGAGAGCCTGAAAAGCAAAATTCAAGAGCTTGAACAGTTGGCAAGGGGACGAGGACTAGCTGGAGTGTTCAATTTCAGACCTTCTCAAGTTGAAGAAGGCAAGGTACCAACACCAGCTTGATCTATTGTGTGATGTTTTTGGCAGCAAAATGATCAGATGTTTTCTCATTCTTTGGAGCCAAGAATCATATGCCTTCTGTAAACCAGAAGCCTAGGCTCCTTGCTGAAAATGAAGTTGAATCTTATGAAAATTTCCATTGATGTTATCAATACTGTGAGTTCCATAGCCTCCTTTCATTTATGGCACTATACTGATTTTACTAGTGTCTAACACCACATGCTTTCAAGAGACTTGTGTACTTAGCACTTAGCATCATAGGGTGCTAATTGTGAAATGTTGGATTTGGAGATTTTTTTTCCAGCCATTTTCTAATGTTCAGTACTGGTGAGGTGACATTTTGACCAGATGCTCCTTACCTGCAAAAGTTTTATGTAATACTAATATAACACCAATATTTATACTTTAGCACATTTCAATCCCATCCTATATGAATGGGAGGCATCATCAATTGACTACAGCCCATAGTGGGGTGTGCCCTTTATGCCTTCCTTGCCTTGTTGTTTCTCTCCACCTTTTTGCTGATGGATCTGGATTTTGCTCACAAAAAGCTTTTATCGTCTTTGTCCCTAATTACTTGTTTATTTTTTAATTGACACCACACCTATTAAGAAAGTACTTATTGATATAGTGAATTTACCATTTTATCCCTATTAATTGTGGAGTGGATAAATTAAAAACCTACAAATTTCAACAAGTTCTATCTTTTTATAAAGTAATTAATTGAAGGTTAATAAATTTTTTAGTTATTTATTAAAATGGATAAGTAATTAGAATAATTAAAAAAAATAAAATTTGGACAAAGTAATTAGGGATAAAGAGGTATCTTCTTTCTCAATGTGGCTAAAAGGGACCGACCAATCTCTTTGTGCCACACCAATTATAAAAATGGAGTCCTATTTTAGTGTCTTTTTTAATTCTTCTTTTAACAATTTTGGTCCATTATATATAATATATTAATAATCAGATTTATAATTCAAAAGGCATTTTAAATGGTAAATAAATCTTTGATACCTTTTTAATGTATAAATTATATAAGAATTCATTGTATGCTTGTCAGTTCTTATGCCCCCTAACAGTTTTTTTGTGGTGAATTCGTTTACAAAATAGGATGCCTTATTTTTTTTTAATTTTAAATAGAAAAAACCGTATGAGTTGTGGAAAATTATGTATTTACTTGATATATTAGAAAGTTGGAGGAGTCTTCATAATAAAGTAATATATTGAATTGTTTATTTCTTGGATATGTTGGTAATAGTGATGCATATAAATTTTTTGGTACATGAATAGCGACATAATTGAGTGTAATAATGCCGTTTAAATTAAAAAAAACAATTACTAGTATTTTAAAAAAATAAATAAGAGATAATATTTCTTATGTTCCTATTGTTAAAAGTGAAAATACTTTCCATGCTCATTGTTGTTCACAATGATTTTGAAAATGAGAACTAAAGGAGGAGCAAAAGAACAATAAAAGATCATGAATTTTACATTTATTTATAATGGTTCTATATATTTTCTAACATAATTTTTTCTGTTCGTACGCCTCTTATGAAATAAATCATACACACTATAACAAACTATATTATAAAAAATAATAGTTAAGATTTATTAGTTCAACCAAAAAACTAAACTCATTTGTTATAAATAGTTACTCTACTATTTTTAGAAGAAAGTCGTATAATTTTGATGATTCGATTCATAGATATAAACCTAGATTCATTGTTTAGAGTTTACTTAAATATATTAGCTATTATATTTATTATGCATCCAATACTATTATATGATTCTGGCAATAATGCAGCCACATATGATGTAATAATGCATATTATAATATATTTCCTTTATTATCCCCCAAAAATAGAACAATTTTCTTATAAATAATATTTGATTATTTCAACACTTATGCAAAGAAATGTATATATTAAATGCAACTACTCTAAGAAAAAGTAGAGTTAAACACTACTAATGTGTCAAAAACCAATAAGAATGTCATATCTTATTGCAAATAAAGATCTTATGCCCATAGAATAAGCATACAAAAAACTGAATTTACCTATTATCTTCAATTTTTTCTATACAATAATGAAAATGTGATAAATTCATTGCATAAAAAAAAAGGTATAATGTATACTGATGTTTCCTTGGATTTTTCAAAAAATAAATTCCATTTCTATACACATATAGTTGATTAGTAATACATTTTCTATTTAAATCATTACTTTACCAAATCAGCTGGATTTAATTTTTTAGTTTTATCTTAATTAACAACTGCCACGTAGATTTTTATTATAACAAAACCAGTCCTTTCAATGCATAGATATAGATAGAGAGAGAGAAAATTTCACAGACAGAAATCAAAACGCAAAACACTTTCTCTCTCTTCACTGTTCGGAGGCCGCAATCTCTCCTGTCTCCTCCGACCCACCGCCGATTACCGGTAAGAATCCTATTATAATTTTAATAGATTATCAATTTACCGAATAATTCATATTGAAAAACTCAAAATTCAACCAATAACCCAATAATGGAAAAACTGTGAGAAGCAAAGGGTGGAAAGAAATGGAGTGGAAAATTAACAGAAAATAAGATTTTGCAGTGAATTGAAGCTTCCCCTGAAAAATCTTGTAGGTTCTCTCTCTACCTTATTTATATACTTTTCTTCCTTTGAATTGATTTGAGTGTTTCCCTTTTTCTTAAGAACTGTATTGAATTACTCTTCTTTCAGCAAGAACTGAAAATGTATTAAATTTTTTCCCTTATTGCCAAATATAGCTTCACCTAAAGGGTGTAAATGGGGGGAAAATCCATTCTTGGTGAATATTTTGATGTAACAGTCATATGCTTTTAAGGGGCTTTTATGTTTGATGTATGGTAGGTGAATGAAGGGGAAAAAAAACCAGATCTTGCTTTGTTAGCTTCCTTAACTTTTGAGTTTTGAGTATAGAGGGTTGTATTTTGTAAAAGGGGTGTTTCTTGTTGTTGTAAACTAAATTATGTAATTGATACTTTATCCAATAACAGAAGGAAAAAGGAAAACCCCAGATCTTGATTTGGCATTACATTGAATAATCAGATTCAAAGACAAATTTTTAAGTTGGATTTAAAATGTATATATCCCAGGTGAAAGTCTCTGTTGAGAACGATCAGTACCATTTGAGGTCATGGGTCACTCCGAGTGTTGTTCTCAATCCGAGTTCTAGAGCTCTCTGTTTATAGCCAAAATTGCAAAGAGAAGCGAGGTTCCAGTTCTTCAAATCTATGTTCATTTTCGTTTCCTTTTCGATTTGATATTCTGGCGATGTGATTCTGTGATTCATGGAATGGACAATCTGTTTGTTTAGAATGAAGACTTGTTAAAAGGAATAATGATGGTTTGCTAAATAGGTGAATTTGGGATGAAAGATGATTTGTGTGATTAAAGAAGCCTAATTGATTAATGATTTAGAATAAGTTCTGTTTAAATTATGGAACAAGTTTTATTGCAATATTAGCCTATTGAATGAGGTTCAGGTAGGCAAAATTTGAGACACATTTGATTGCTTGTGTGATTTTATTTGCTTTCTAATATCATGTATCCATTTCCCGGAAGAAAACAAATGTGAGAATGGATGCTGTTTATGGACAGAACCCCTAGACACCGGATGAAGCATAGAATAGGCTAGTTTAGGTAGTGTAGGTTTTCTTTATCGAACTTTTTTTATTTTGGATTGTAATAGTTCAGATTTGTTTTAAACTCTTCTATGCACGTAACGTGTATCTTTGTCTTTACTTTGAGAAAATGCAGAGTATAACATTTGGGATAGGTTTGTGACCTGAGAAACTGCTCCGGCCATCAAATCTGATATCGTGAGCTTGTCATTTTGTTTCGGTATTCTTCAATTACACAAATGATTGATTGTTCGGTGATGTTCAGGCAAATGAGGCGCAGTCTTGAGGTTTGGAAGATGGGCACGGTAAATTACCTGGAGGCACTGAAGCTGCAAGAGAAGCTGGCAACTGATAGAAAAGCTCTAAAAATTACTGATACCCTATTATCTCTACAGCATCCACCGACGTATACAGTTGGCAAAAGGGAAACAGTTCATAATCTACTCATTCCTGATTCTGAGCTCAAGTCCATGGGGGCGGAACTTCACTATACGCAAAGAGGAGGTGACATTACATTTCATGGTCCTCAGCAAGCAATCTTATATCCCATTGTTTCGTTGAGAGATATTGGTTTAGGGGCTAGAATGTATGTTGAGAAGCTTGAGCTAACCATGATTGAATTGGCATCTATGTATGGTGTGAAAGCACAGGCTGGACAAAAATGCGAAACTGGTGTTTGGGTTGAGGACAGAAAGATTGGCGCGATTGGAGTTAGAATTTCATCTGGGATCACATCTCATGGATTAGCATTCAACATGGACCCTGATTTAAACTACTTTAAGCATATTGTGCCTTGTGGGATTGTCAATAAAGGTGTTACGTCTTTGAAGAATGAGACAGATGTAGAGCTTCCCGCTGAAGATGTGATACAGGAGCAGTTGATCGCTTGTTTTGTAAGAATATTTGGGTACAACGACGTTGTCTTAAAAGATAAGTCTGTGTTATAATTTGATTAAGCACTAATGTTAACATAGGCTGATACATTATCTGACTAATTTTTTTTGTATAAGTAGACATTCATTCATTTGATCAGATTAGCATTGTCGACGAGTAAGCTATGATATCAAAAGCAAATTTCTTGTGCTGTACTTTGAATTTTTGACATCCTTAGTCCTGTTTACGAGGAACCTGAATTCCTTTGACCCTATGGAGGCACAGGTGAGTCATATTTGTTGAGGACAGGACAAAGCAAAACAAATTCAATCTAACCCCATAAGTAAAGTTTAAGGAGGGTAAGATTAAAAGTTTTTGTGGCGCAGAGAGATTGTTTCCGATTGACTCTGTAACTTTCAAGTTTGAGACCAGCAATATGAACGAGCTCTAAGACCGACTCAATAGGATTGAGGGATTAAATCGAAATACAAGAGAGGGCCCTAATACTTCTATTTTTTCATTATACATACTTTTGTTTGAAATTTATTTTTCTAGCTTTTTTAGATGTGAAATTGTAAGTTACTATTTATAATAGATTTGTTTAATAATTCCTTTTAAATTAATAATCCACTCTCTTAATACATTATTCATCTTAATAAAGATTTAAATCGATCTTTATAGTTTAGCACATTTCAGTCCCACCCTATATGAATGGGAGGCATCATGAATTGACTACAAAAAGCTTCTATCTTTCTCAATGTGGTTAAAAAGGACCAATCTCTTTGTGCCACACCAATTCTAAAAATGGAGTCCTATTTTTTAGTGTTTCTTTTTTCGTTTCTTCTTTTAACTTTTTTGGTCCATTATATATAATAATATTAATAATCAGATTTATAATTCATAAAGCATTTTAAAGGGTAAATTAATCTTTGATATATTTTTAATGTATAAAATCAAAGTTTTAAAAATAAAATTAAAATAAGCATTCATTCTATGCTTATGTTGCTAACATTTTTTTTTGTGGTGAAGTCATTTTATTTAGTCATTTACAAATTATGATGCTTTATTTTTTACAAAAAGTAAATTGAAAAAACCTTATGAGTCAGTGAAAAGATTATATATACTTGAAATATTAGAAAGTTGGAGGAGTTTTCATAAGTACATGATCCTGCAATAAATTTATAATAAAGTAATATATTCAATTGTTTATTTCTCGGATATGTTGATAATAGTGACGCGTATAAATTTCTTGTTATATTAGTAGTGATATGATTGAGCGTAATAATACAGTTGAAATAAAAAAATAATAGATAATATTTTTTTAATAAGATATAATATTTCTTATGTTCCTATTGTCCAGAGTAGGGATGTGCATTCAGTGTTTTGGTTTGGTTTTGCACTATTTATTTTGGATTCTTTCTGATTTTTGATTTTGTAAAAGTGTAATCCAATTCAAAATAAATTGGAAAAATTACTTAACTACACTCCTTTAATTATCTTAATAACCATTTATCCCTACTTATTATAAAAATTTCAAAAATCCCTTATTCCCCCCAATTAAAAAAATATGAAAGATACATAAGGATTTTCCACCCTTTTTTCACCCAATTGGCAAGTTTTACTTTACTAAAACAAAATTCTATTTTCAAGCTA